AAACGTTTTTAGCCCTAAAAAATTTTAGTTAATTTCATTCTTTACCCGATGTCAATCAACTGTCAACACGAATCTTCATACGTGATGAATTTTCAAGTCTAACACATGGACAACACAAGGGTGGGATGTAGTGGGTATGGCCATTAGACTTCACATGTGGGACAATCTGCTCTGATTACAGAAAAAAAGTTGAGGTTCACTATAAAACAAATTGATTTTAGAGTGAAATCTCAACTTTGTTCATGGTATGTATAACATGGACTGAAATAATTCTATATTTGACATAATAATTGATATGACTAACATGGAAAATTGAAGATAGATTCGTAACTAAATTGAAAATTTAGAGGGCCAAATTAAATTGTGTGTATAATTATGGAAAATTGCTAAATTTTCCAATAACAATAAGAAGAAATGAGTGAAAGGGTATAATTTAACCCATTCATAGTCACATATGCAATTTGTAATTGCGTTTTTTTTAACAAACGATATTATCTACTATAATACTTGATATGACATAATATTTGATACGACTAACATGGAAAATTGAAGATAGATTCATAACTAAATTGAAAATTTAGAGGGCCAAATTAAATTGTGTGTATAATTATGGAAAAATTGCTAAATTTTCCAATAACAACAAGAAGAAATGAGTGAACTGGTAAATTTAACCCATCCATAGTCACACATGCAATTTATAATTGCGTTTTTTTTTAACAAACGATATTATCTACTCTAAGGAAGTGAAGGAGTGGATTAAGCTTCACATTAGGCTAACCATAATAATGTAGTTCAAATTCGTCTTTACGCGAGAACCGAACCTAAAACTACACACTTATAAATAAGGAGAAATATCATTAGACTGTAATATTAACTAGCTATATTTGCGCATCTTATTCACATATGTTTGGTGCAATATTGAGAATAATTTCGATTGCGTGATGCAAATTTAATGAATAATTGTTATTAGAATTCTAGAATAATAATCATGCATTTCTCATTCTCTGCTTTCTTTTTCATTATGGAATAATGTCGAATAATTATTTTGATGAGACAATAACAATTTCATTTTAAAATACTTAATATAAAATAGTTTACATGTAATGGAGTAGCAGTCAATTGAGCATTATAGAAAAGGGTGATGCTATCCATATATATCTTTTAATGTTTCACACACACTTCTCAATTTTCAACCACCGGTGCGAATGAATTAAAGAAAAAAAATCAAAGAATAAAAATTAACATGAAATATGTGAAAAATGAAAAAAATGTGTGTAAATAGCACCGTCCATAAAAAAAATCTTGATAAGAAAATAAGACGGGTAATGATCTTTCCACGTGGGTATAGGTTAAGCATGAATATTTGAGGTTGAGAGGGGAAGCTATAAGAGAGCATGGCCCTTCTTTGGTAAAAACTGAGCTTTTGACATCCGGCGGAAGGAGGGAGAGAGAGAGAAAAAGAAGAAAAGGAAAGAGTCAACTTGAAGGATAAAGCACTGGGCTCGAGAGTGAAAGAAAGACTCATTGAGACACAATAATTGGGACTTCCACATACATAAATTCATCATCTCCAATTATTTTCTTTGTTTCTTTTTCCGGGAATCAGTCTCAACCCTTTTACATTGAATATTGTCCCCTTTTACACCATAATTTATAATTATCACAAGTCCAGAGCGGATTCAAATTTGAATAAACGACACTGACACAATATTTCGGTGCATAAAACTTGATAATAAAAAGGTTTGTATATAACGTTACTCGTATGATGATCAGATGATGTAATTCAACTCAACTTAAACTTGTTTGAAAGTTTTTTTTTTTTTTTTTTAAATGTGCTTGTATTCAAAAGTGCTTTTGCTAAAAGCGTTTTTGCTATAAGCATAACAAAGTTTGAAGAAGTAATTAATTGCTTTATGCAAATGCATTTTAAAGTACTTAATAAATATTGATGGATAACTTATGAACACACAAGTTGTTCAGTAACCATGAACGCTTTTATCATTTTACATCGAATGTTGTTTAAAGCATTTTTAACATTCTTATAAGCGATTCCAAACAAACCTTAGTTGCTTGTCAAAGACCCCCATTGCCACGGGCCCCCAGTCTACTTTTTCTACCCTATATTTTGGGGTATTTCTTTGACTAAAATGCAGCTTAATTAACTTGATCTAAATATATTCAAAGTTGAGCTAATAAACATTGATGGAAATTTGGAGCTTTCTTTGTTTAAACGGGCCTCACTTGCCAGAGTCAAGGTCAGCGTACGGCGCGACTGCGGCTAAGGCGGCCGGAGTCCGTACTTTTTTATATCAAATAATTGAAATCCAATAATTAGGGGGCACTAATTTGGGAGGGTTCACGTGATCGTCTTTGATGAAAAGGCCTTTTAATCTTTATGAACCCAGCGTTTGATCCAATGCTTTCTCTTGCATCCACTCATGGTAATTACTTGGTAATATATATTTTCCACTCATGGTTATTTATTGGTAAACCATGATTTCTTGTACAAAACTCCTACTACAAGAACGCTTTCAAGGGTTGTAGTTTTACATGGTGTTTTACCATCTGCCCATTGCGGGTGGGGCATGCTCTACTAACCTACAGGCTCGGAGAAAACTTCATTTGACCTAAAGGTGGCAATGAATCATTCACGTACTTGATTTATCTATTACGCAATTAATCACCTTAATACATTGCTTAGCTAAAACTTAAAAGTGTTGAGAGTAAATCTCATATCGAGAAAATGAGGGATTTTGTGTATACTTATAAAAGATCTCATATTAACAATTGGTTTTACGGTGAAACCTCAACTTTATTCATAGTATCAAATCAGGTTGTCCCATGTGTAAAGTTTAATGGTCACACGTGATCCACATCACTGGATTTGCTTCTAAGATATTGAGCTACTTCTCATATTACTAATTAATTTTATGGTGACCCTCAACTTTCTTCGAAAAACACAGATAAACATTGACAATAATTATATAACTAAATTTATAAATTGTCGATTGTCGTGGTAGATAGAACTTCTTCATCATTCCACGGCATTATGACTTCAAACTTTTCCGTTTTCTTAACCTAATGCTAATAATCACCGACTAATTGAATGAACTGTATGAGTTACCATGAAATGTACCATTAGCGATGACATTTTGATGTTTCATAGAACTTGAGGACATTTTAAATTTAAAAAATAAAAAAAAATAGGGAACTTTAACGAAAAGCTCCCGGTACTGTTCACTTTAACGAAAAACCACATTTTTACACTAAAAAGTCAATATTGGTACTATTCACTTTATCCTTTATGTTGCCCTTATCATTAAAACTTAAAGTTTTCAAACCATTTTTATTAGTTTTCCTAAAAAAATACCCTTCAATCCAGGAGCCATAGAGAATATAAAGTAATATGACAGTGATTAATTGTTTTATTGTATTTGCTAGTGAGGTAGTAACATATAGATTTTTTTATCACTGATAGATCTGTACATTTTAAAATTTAAATCTTTATATAACCTTTGTGTCTCATTGGTTTTTTGGTATCACCTTTGTGTCTCATCTGTCCATATATTTTTGTGCAAAAAAGTACTATTCAAATACAGACGTCTTTACACCACTACCCAAAAAGTTCATGCACCAAAACAGTAGAATTGAAACACAAGGGACAACAACATATTAAAAACAAAATTAAAACTCAAGCATTTAGACAATGATTTAATCCCACATATATATATATATAGACTCAATTGCAAACGTTTGCTAATACATACAATATTGTGTCCAGCTACAATATTGGACACAACATGTCCTCAATTTAATTTCTAGTGCTAATGAATTACATAATGATGGTTAAGCGAGTCTGAAATGTCTTTATAAGTTTTTCTAACCCCAAAAAAAGTGAATTACAATAACAAACCCATTAACTGATCGTTTTTTTTTATTTTAAAAAAATTTGGACTTGAACACAATTACATTGACTATAATAGTAATTACAATAGCTCTTTACAACAAAGTCCAAATCTAATTTTTACTCCAAGAAAAAATTCAAATCTCAAATTCCGTAATTTAGATTAGGGTATAATATTATTCGCAAAATTAAAATCGATTGTTTTGATCAATGTTATCGATAAACGTACAAGATCGGAATGAAAAAAATATATATATGAATTCGGTGCTTGCTGGCAGTGCTTGCTGGCATATAACCAACATGGAGCTGGGGGCCAAATGTGCTACAGTACATAGGAACAGTCCTTCCAGCCTAACTCGGTTAACTATTGACATCAGAGATGTTGACCTTTTATTACAGCCTCCTAAAATAAATCACAAAACACCAAAAAAAATTTGTATAAATTTGTCAATCATAAAATGATTACCCGACGAATTTTTAATGAAATACGAGGCATCCAACGACCCCCCCCCCCTCTCTCTTAGAATTTCGTCAATCTCGATCTAAACTTCGTTACCCAAAAAATAAGATGTTTTCTATGGTGTATGGGAAACTCGTTGGACAATGTCATGGGCGCCTGAAGTACACGTGGTGTTTAGATATAGGTCTGTCATGCAGTGTAGCCGTATGCGGATGTCATATTAGAAATTGTTAGGAAACACAAACTACGTATTGTATTATCCTACATCTCATAATAATCGTAGATGAAAGGGTAGATATCTTTGTGTTTTAAAAGAGAAACATGCAAAAAAAGCACGTTCATATTTACTGTGGCGTCATGGTTTAATAATGACAATTATACTAGTAAAGTAAGGTAACATGTTATGTTTGGATAAACCAAATTCCTACTGATATATAATGTTCTTTTTTGGGGGGTAGATTGAGAAATGAAATGGGTAAAAAATTTAATTACGTGGAATGGTCAGAAAAAGTAGCAAGCGGGTTTTCCGGTGCAATGACGAATAAGCAAAAGCTGATACAGCGACATGTGGATGAACGAGGACCGTCTAGTGAGGATACGTGACTGGGATCGAGCCATGCGAAGGTTCATTGAACTGGAAGGAGGACTCGCTGATGGTTTAGTCGATCACCCAGTCGCTCACAGTCTCTCACTAAAACTCGCATACCGTGGACAGGTTTAGAGAGAGAAAGTAAGGGAGGAGAGAGAAAAAGAGAGGCAAGTTGGGGCAGTTGTCTTAATGAGGAGGGAAGGGAAGGAGCAGTAGTAGGAGCAGAGCAGACTGGGTGCAGTTTCCATGGCGGCGTTTGCAGGGCTCTAATTCCGTGCCTTTATTATTGTTATTGCTGCGAACTCCACGACAACACCTCCAGAATTCATTTCTAAACCCTTCCAATTACTCACCCTACCCAACCCCAACAAAACCCAAAAAAAATTTCCTTCCTTAATATTCTCCGTAGGTCTTAGTATTCTTACCCTAACATTAAAATATTCCCAAGAATTACCCCTCAAAAAGCTGCAAAAAACTACCCTGTAAGGAGATCGCTGAGATTAATTTAAAACACACAGTCGCACAGTAATAGCGCACAGATAAGATCACAAGGTCAAAAAAGGAAACCCAGGTTGTGGTTTAATTAATATGGATTTGTACCCAAAATTGAGGTTATCAGAAAAATGGCTGGCTTGTTTTGCTTAGGAGGGAGAGATCAAAGTCCGAATAGCCGCGGCAAACAAGAGGGAGGGAATCAGAGCGGAAGAGTGGGAGGAGTAGCAGCGGAAGCGGCGGCTGGAGGAGGAGGAGGAGGGAACTTGTTTTTGTACAGATCAACAGGCGAGCCGCAGGCCGAGATCTACAACAAGGGGTTTGAGATATGGCCGTCACAATACCATCCACACCAAAACTTGAACTACTACTCGTTTGGAGTGGATCCTAGCTACAACAGTAGACACTTGGACAACAATAACGACGGCGTTTCGGCGGATGATCTATCGGCAGGGTTGAGGCTGACGGTGATGAGGGGAGGAGGGTTAGGAAGCAGCGGCGGCGGCATGAACTGTCAAGACTGCGGGAACCAAGCGAAGAAAGACTGTCCGCACCTTAGGTGCCGGACCTGTTGCAAGAGCCGAGGGTTTCAGTGTCAAACACACGTGAAGAGCACGTGGGTTCCCGCCGCGAAACGACGGGAGCGGCAGGAACAATTCTCGGCCTTACAACAAAACCGAAGTCAGCAACAACAGCAAGAGCAGCAGATACAGTATCGAGGTGAAAACCCCAAAAGGCAGAGAGATAACTCTCTTGCCTGCGTTCGTATTCCTTCCGACACGTCAGGTAAAACTCTTGTAGCTTTCAATACAAACAAATATATATAAGAAAATTGCACCAAAACTTTTGCTTTAATTATAAATTATAAACAATATTTTTTAGTAGGCAATCTACTGAAATTCCGGAATCGATCGCTTGACATTATTAAGAAATTTGAAGAAACTTTGTTGCTTATTAAACCGAGTGTGAATCACAGGTCGAGGAATTAAGGGACAAAATTAAATCTAAAATTTCATTGGGAATTTTTTCTGCCATCGAATCCGATATGGATCGTTTGCGTGGCGGAATATAGTGAGCTCCATCGGATCCACCCCGCCACCCACTCTCCATGCTTTTCAGTCCATTCTTCTTCTTTCACTGTTTGTTAGTAAACCTGACTAAGAAAAAGTCCCATGAATTTTCTTCGCCACAATCTGCATATATTTCCGTTTTAGTTAACCTTTATAAATATATAAAAATGAATCGTTATTTATTTTTCTCTTTATTGTGGTGGAGAACAAATTCTAGGGTTGGAGTTGAATCCATTTCCGCCAGAAGTGAGCTCACCGGCGGTGTTCCGCTGCGTAAAAGTAAGTGCAATGGACGATGTAGATGAGCAATTCGCGTATCAAACGGCTGTCAACATCGGAGGGCATGTGTTCAAGGGACTTCTGTACGATCAAGGCATGGATGGTCAGTATTACCCGAGTTCTGGAGGAGGAGGTGAGAGCTCCTCGGGCGGTCAAGGTACTAGCCACGATCATCACCAAGACGGAGGAGGAAGCGGAGGAGGAGGTCATCCACATCATCATCAGCAACATAATCTTGTAACAGTCGCGGCTGCCGGCGGGACCTCTGGCAATCCGTCTACTACGTTGCTTGACCCTTCTCTCTTCCCAGCTCCATTCAATGCTTTCATGGCTGGTACGCAATACTTTCCGCCTCCCAGGTCTTAAAAACCAAAAACCCAAAACCCAAAAAAAACATAGGCAGTATTTGATTTGCTTGTTTCCTTTTAACCAAAATCTCTTTTTGTCAGCTAGCTACTAGCTTAATTAGTCTAGCTGATGATGTTAATTGTTCTGATTATCATGGTTTTAAGTTTCTTAATTTAACCTCATGCACTCCAAGTAGAAGAATACCTAGCTAGCTAGGGTGGCGAATTGGATCGAGACGTCGATTGATGAACGACGAGGACAATTTATATTTGGATGGACAGGGATGTTTGGTTTTGTTCGAATTTCAGCTCCGATTTTTCGTGGTTAATTATTTTGATGAGGATAACTCTTATCGATGATGATGACGATCACTCGTTAATAATCCAAATTAAATTAGAATTAATCTAAATTAACCATTTGTTTATCGTGCTTTTTTGGGTGTGGTTTGATTAATTACTTGTTTTGTGCGGCATGCATTTGAATATGTGCGCATTGCATATAAATTATTTGTTTATGATAATGTTTAGGTTATGATATCTGGGTTTGATGTTGAATTCGCTTTCTGAGAGTGGTGGTGAACTCGAAGCCGCTTTTTTCCAGCTTATCCGTTCCCTTGCCGGATGAATAACTAGGTTTCGTGTTTGGTTACCCAAACAATATTCTGAATTTAAATTCGTTCCTGTTTTCTTTTCGGTCCTACCAAATCCATCAAGTTCTTCAAAACAAAAGGAAAGGGAAAAAGATAGGATGAAATGGCATGGAAGGTCCAGGTCTAGAAAAATACTCCCATTAAACTCAAAAGTTCAAGGTGATAGCGTCCTAAATTTATTCGACAATAATGTTTTGGTCTGATAATACAATATTATATAGAAAGAAATATAAATTAATTTTTATTAAATCGTAACGCCACGACGACAGTGAACGCGAAATCCCCTGCCCTCTCTCCTGTGTGTAGATGGTATGTGTAAGATGAGCCAATTAATTAGTTAGCTACGTAAAAGGATAATCATAAAGGCAATAACGCCAACTACTTGCCCGCAAAACTGCAAAATTTGGGCACTTGAAATGACAAGCGTGGATCGATGTGACATGCATCGTAAAGACCCATATATCCTGCCAGCTTAATTGCTGGGCATTAGCTCATAATGCTTAATGCAGCTCAACTCTTCAACTGTGTGCATGTGATGTGTTTATATAAACATATATGTATGCATGCTATATATAACTATACAGTAAATTGTAGTTTTGGTCTCTTAACTTTAACTTAATTGGAGTAATGGTTCCTTAACTAAAAATTCATTACCATTGGTCTTTCAACTCATCAAAACGTGTAGCTATGATCCCTCAACTAAAAATCTATTATCATTGCTCCCTCAACTTTCATTCAACTAGAGAAATGTCCCTCAACTCTAACCCAATTGTAGCAATGGTCATTCTAACATAACACGTTTTGACAAAATTTTTGACGTAGTTGACAAAAAGGACCATAATTACACACTTTGATGAGTTGAGGGATCCTAATTATATAAATGGTTATTCCAACATAACTTATTTTGACAAAATTTTGATAAAATTGATGAAAAATACTATAGCTACACATTTTAATAAGTTGAGGGATCAATGTAATGAATTTTTAATTGAATGACCATTGCTCCAATTCGATTAAAGTTGAGGGACCATTGCTACAATTTACTCGTAACTATATAATGGGGATCATATGTATAGGCTGAGGTACAAAATAGCATGCATGTTTCAATAGGATCTTTTAATGACGCTTCCCTAGACTGCTACATTTGGTAATCGCGAAAGAAACATAAAGCTTCCCAAACTTCCTTAGTTTTGTATAATTTCTCTGACCCTAACATGTGCAACCTCATCCTCCACCGTCGGATAAAACAGTAATCTTGTTCTATATATACATACATTTTGTTACGTATTCATTTGTTTATGATTTTTTTATTCATGAACCATTATTCATTTGTTATGATTTCACATTACACCATTATCACTACTACCAATCTCATTTCTATATTACGGTGATATCAAATTAAACAGATATTAACGAGTACCCATTAAGAATTCAATTGGTTGATTTGTCACCTCTAAGCATGCATATATAATTGGTAACGTTTAGAGGTCATGATAAAGAAAACAAATATTCTTAATTATTGAAGGGGGAAGTACAAAGTAGATGTGGGCGTAGGTGCAACGGCTAAAAACGATGTGCTTTCTCCTGGAATCCTCTCACTTACAGTTTAGATGAGTTTTCAAATGAATATCGCTTGTGTATAACAAAATAACTAGAAGTGATTTTCACATTTTTTTTTTTATCTTCATGCGCTTTTCTCTTTTTCTAGTCTCGGAATTGAGTCAATCAAAACAAAATCAACGAATAGAAACAATTGATGGAGTGCATGAGGACAAGGGGGAGTGGGAGATCACTTAAAAAAAAGGAAGTAGGATTTTTATGAGTACAATATTATGGTGTGGAAAGGTTCCCTTGCAATTGTCTGGTTCTGCGGATGTTGCCTCTTTGTATCTATGACAACGTAGAAAAAAGTTAGATTTGTATTGATACTAAAAATTATACGATGAATACTTTCGAGATTTTTAACCGTTAAATCTTAATTATTTATTTTTTACTATAATTTAATGATTAAATTTTTTTTGAAAATCATCTCTGTAAACCCTAGAACTAGTTTAACCTAGCAGTGTCTCACTTTCTGCATCAAGAAAAAGATGAACCTTAGCTGTTGACCCCTCCTGTTTAGCATTTGACCGGTCATAATTTAGCTCAGCAAAATGAGGAGAAAGAAGGGTTCTTTCATGTATTTATATATCACACACACATATACATATGTTGAAATGCTCACAGTCAAACAACCGTTGAAGGAAATATCTATGATTTGACCTCCCAAATCTCTCGTATGTCAATATTTTTAATTTCCGAATTTATAAAAAAATGGTGGGTAGCCTTATAAAATCATCCTACATCCCTCTATCTGTGTGTACGTTAACAGCTAGCCGTTGAAGAATAAGAACGGTTCAATGATTATCTTTGTTTAACCGATATATTCTACGTTAAACTTATCTTACTTACAAGATGATGATTTCAAGAAAGAGCATGTTGTTCAAATCAACTTGGCTAAGTTCAGATTTATACAAAAGGGTTAGTTTGAACATGTGCTAAGTCGTTTCACTGTTACAACAGTCTACCTTTCCCACGGCCAAAACAATTTGAGAATACTTAATTACCCCCCAAAACAGATATCACGATCATCTAAACTAATGTACTAATCTAGTATTTGGAACTTCCTCTGTGGCTGTGTTATGTCGTTTTCAAGATCACCGAAAATAATTGTACTTGAAAACATTGACACATGAATATTGATCAAATAAACAGTATTTGTGTAGACCCACAGAAGTTGAATGAAGGTTTGATCAAGGACTTTTTTTTTATTTTTTTTATTTTAACAATCGATATTGTTTACATTAATGAAAATGGGGTGTGTTTAGCCTCATAATAGACTAGCAATAATGTAGTTCAAATTCACCTTTAGCGAGAATCGAATCTATGACCTCTAACTTACGAGTGAAAAGAAATATCACTATAACGTAATACTAAGTAACTTTGATCAATGACTTATTCGTACTGCTAATTACTTTGTCATTCGAATTCTCCGGGTGTCTTTCTTTCACGACTTTATTGACCTAAAACTGCACTACTGCTACAATATATGCAATCAATCACCCTTATTTTCTGGCTTTGTGCTCAAAATTATCAGATCACGAGTCAGTTAGTAATAGTAACCACTGGATGTGTGGTCTCTACTTTTTTTTTTTTTCCTCGTTTCCTCTCATAATTTGCCTTTTGTCTTCTTTTTTTATAAAAAAATTAGTAAAAGATATTGACGTAACTTAATCGTATAGGTTCAAATAGGAAGATAATGAAGAAATAAAGATTAGGATGAGAGATAATTCTACTCTAAATATGAGGTATTATATATACAACATAAGAAAAGGGAGTCAAGTTTGAGTACAAATTAAGATGCGAGAACATTACTTTTGGAAACTTACCAAAATTACTTCTCGGCCCATCGAGTTAAGTAATTAACAAACCTAATGGAATATTATAGAGTTAACCTGTGTTTAAGCCCAATAAACTGCAATATGTTGAGGGGGTTATTATATAAATACAGATTAACGCACAGTGGATTAAAGCAAACAAGGATCCCGAAAAGGGTTGTAAAAAATCATAAAAGCAAGTGTGATCACATTGTAGCTAGGGGACACGAAATGGGCATGATATCGAGTTGTAGCTCTCCGCCGTGTGCGCATGGAGTTCATCCCTCCATCTCCTCCATATCCTTATAGGTGGATGGAGAAAACCCTAGCAGGCTAGCAGTATTTATGAGATCAAGTATTATAAATGTAGCTGGCTAGGGTTTATTATTTCGTCTAATTCAGTTAAAGTTTCACTGGAAAACTAATTAACAGTATGAAAAGTAGTTAATCTCTTATAAGTTATAAGACTTTTACAAAGTTTATCTTTTCACCGATTTAGAATTCTTTTACCTTCGTATCCTCATACTAATATACATATATTATTGATTATATACATAGATACAGAGTGTGCAGGGCTAGGCGGAGCGTTTAGAGAGTAGGTTGCGGCCAGGCCGCATGCGAACTGCTGTTTAGCTAAAACGTGGTCCAAAATGTATCATCCGCGTCTGCTACTGCCTACATATATATAACTGCTACTGCTAGGGTTTCTGTTGCAGTCACTGTGTGACTGTGAGTATATATGTGTATATATATATATATAAATATATATATATATATATCTGTAATCTGCATATGTATTTGCGGTCCTACTGCTAATCCTTGTGATTGTCCTTGTTTAAAGAAGGCCATAATGTCTGCCATGATATGATCCTCAATCCGGCCGGCCCTGACTTCAAGGCATACTACTTTCGTTTTTGCATTTATGTACTATTTCTATAAATCTACTTTAATACAAATTATATTCCACGTTGATTTAGTAGCGATAATGTTTTAATTTCGGCACGTAGTGAATTGAAGAATAAGGCCATCGAGCAATCCACCACTTACTTTTTTGTAAATCTACTTAGGGGGCTAAATGAAAACATCAGTTTTGGCTTTTTAATAATTTTCACACACGTCTTTTAACTTATCACACATCTCTATTTGTTTCCGGTCATTGAAAACAACGAATAGTATTAAACAATGGTGAATGAGATGACAAAAGAAGTGTATTTATCATTTTATTTTCTAACAAAATGAGATGACTTAATTTGATCTAAATTATGGGGAACGAAACTCAATTTCACGCAAACGGAGA